ATTTTGGATACTGACCCTTTATCTGATATGTCATTTGCAAATAACTTCTCTCATTCTGTCAGTTGCTTTTTAGTTTTGCTGATTGTGTCCTTCGCTGTGCAGAAGCTTCTTATTTTGATGAGGTCTCAATAATTCATTTTTGCCTTTCTTTCCCTGGACTCTTGAGACATGTTGAGTAAGAAGTTGGTGTGGCTGAGGTCAAAGAGGTTTTTTTGCCTTCTTTCTTCTTGAGGATTTTGATGGCTTCCTGTCTTATGTTTAGGTCTTTCATCTATTTTGAGTTTATTTTTGTGTATGGTGTAAGAAAGTTGCCCAAGTTCATTTTTCTGCATGTCACTGTCCAGTTTTCCCAGCATCATTTGTTGAAGAGACTGTCTTTATTTCATTGGATATTCTTTTCTGCTTTGTCACAGATAAGTTGGCCATACATTTGTGGTTCCTTTCTGGGTTCTCTATTCTGTTCCTTTGATCTCTGTGTCTGTATTGTGCCAGTACCATACTGTCTTGATCATTATAATTTTGTAATATAGCTTGAAGTTCAGAATTGTGATGCTTCCCACTTTGCTTTTCTTTTTCAACATTACTTTGGCTATTCAGGGGCGCCTGGGTGGCTTAGTCGGTTGAGCGTCCGACTTTCGCTTAGGTCATGATCTCGCGGTTCGTGGGTTCGAGCCCCGCGTCGGGCTCTGTGCTGACTGCCAGCTCAGAGCCTGGAGCCTGTTTCAGTCTGTGACTTCCTCTCTCTCTGACCCTCTCCTGCTCACGCTGTCTCTCTCTCTCTCTCCTAGAAATAAATAAAACATTTAAAAAAAAATTACTTTGGCTATTCAGAGTCTTCCAATATCTTAAAATTTTAGAATTGTTCTAGCTCTGTGAAAAATGGTAGTGTTATTTTGATAGAGATTTCAAAAATAGCTTTTTTTAAAGTTTGCAGAGGGAGGGAGGGGGGGAAAGAGAGAGAGAGAGAGAGAGAGAGAGAGAGAACATGTGCACACAAGCAGGGGAGGGCCAGAGAGGGAGGGAGAGAGAATCCCAAGCAGGCTCCATGCTGTCCGTGCAGAGCTTCTGACAGGGGGCTTATTCTCACAAACTGTGAGATACCAAGAGTCAGATGCCTAACTGACTGAGCCACCCAGATGCCCCCAAAATAGCATTTTTATGTTGTGAACTTGTCGGTTGTGAGGCTTATTTGTTTTTTGTTGGCTAAGTTTTCTAAGTTTTATAGTTATGAAGTAATACCAACCTTGGTAATATATTACTGATAGAATTACTGTGAAAGGTGGAACCATTTGATTTAGATCATTGTTGATAAACTTCTAAAATCTGCTTTTTTTGTGCTTTGGAGAAATGATTGATTCTAGAACAGGGAAAATACAACATGAGCAGACAAAAGTGTTTAAGCAAACAGATTCTGAAAGGCTAAAGCTGGAACAATTTTAGCAACAAAATGATAGTGTTTAATTTTAACCTAAAGAATAAAATAATATCCATGAGTCCATACTGATATAAACAAATAGAGCTGAAAGGACGGATATTTCTTAACAGAATTTGTAATATGGATTAATATGGATTCTACTCTACTCTCTCTAAGGGGTAGAGCTTAATTGTCCTCTATTTGAATGGGGAGTTGACTTAGTGACTCATCTTAAAAGCTGAGTACCTATTTGCCAGACAGAAAAGAGGACTGTATTGGGCTTTTTAGACACAATATAAATAAAAGCATTGAGATAGCAAGCTATGTTTCTCCACTTTATTTTATGAAGAGATAGATATGCCGGGTTACATTATTTGGACTTCATCCTATAGTCGGTGGTTCAAACATTGGAAGATATAAGCATCACCTAGGATGCTTTCCTATAAAGACAGTTTTACAATATGACATGGAGGTGGATCTTGAAATAAGATACTGAGAAACAATCTAGGTTAAAGAAGAGACAGAAGTAGAAGTGCGTAATATTATAGAAACCAAGGGCAAAGTGTTTAAGAAAGATCTTTAGGTCAGATGCCATTAAAAAAACAGAGGCTTGAGAAAGTTGGTCGGAAATTCATAGGTTGGTCATGACCTTGAAGTACCTCTGGAGGAATACGTGAGGAGAGGCCATGTTTCAGTGGATTCAGAAGGGAATTTGGTAAGGGGGTCTGTAGAGAAAATCAAGACTTATTATTGGTGAGAATTAGGGAGGTCAAGGAGGTGGAAGTTTAGCAGGGAAGACCAGGCTAAAGGAGGGCTATTTGAAGATGAAAACTGTGTGTTTATATACTGTAAAGATCCTGGATGAAAAAGTGAGGACAAGTTAGGGAAGAAGATAAGTATCTACTGACATAGAGTGATCCAGAAGAAGTAGAATGATGGACTAAATATTTTTATGGAAGTGTTAATTTCAAAATGAGTGATCCTGCCTCCTCACAGATAAGCAATAAGGGCGGTTGGTGGCATATATAAACTTGGAAAGTCATTGTATGGAGCAGGAAGTTGAGGCTTATTTCTGTGCTTCTGGTTTTGTCTCTGATGAAACAAAATTTTATGCTGGTACTGAGTAAGTTGAAATGTTAAGGTCCTTGAAATAATGTGTTTAGGGATTGGAATGGTCACTGTGATAAAAAGAAAATGGAGTAAATTTGCAACAGTTGAGAATCTTACCCAACAAATCAAATACAATAATACTTTAAAAGGATAGCATATCATGATCAAGTGGGTGGAGGGTTTCCAGGTATTCATGTTTCGTTAATGTTACAAAATTAATTAGCATAATTTACCATATTATGAATTAAAATAGAAATCATAAGCTTATCTTAATTGATGTAGAAGAAGCATGTGACAAAATTCAATACTCAGTTACTCATGATAAAAACATTCAATAAACTTAGATTAAAAGAGAACTTTCTCAACCTGATAAAGGGCATCTATGAAAAATTGTTAACAGATAACACCGTCTTTAGTATCTTTCTACCTAAGGTCAAGAACAGGATAAAGATGTTCATTCTCAACACTTCCATAAAGCATTGCGGTGGAAATTCTGGCCAGTATAAACAGGCAAGAAAAAGAAAGAAAGGGCATCTAGATTAGGAAGGAAGAAGTAAAACAATCAATGTGCAGATTACCTGTTCATCTCTATAGAAAATCTAAGAGGAAAAGTATACCTTGTTAATAGTTTGGAAGGTTTGATGTTACTGTGATATGGATCTGTAGATGCCATGCAGTTCTGATAAAAATCCCAGCAAGTTGTCTTTATGGAATTGAACAAGGTGATTCTGAAAGGTATATAGAAATGTAAAAGCCTAGACTGACCAAAACAAGTTGGAAAAAGGGCAAGAAATTCAGAGAGCTAACATCATTTAATTTGAAGAGTTAATGGAAAACTGCCATAATCATAATACTGTGATACCAACCTAAAGGAAGGCAGGTAGGACAGTAGGACTGAAGTGTCCAGAAATAAACCCACCCATATATAGATTGCTGATTTTTTAAAAAAAGATACAATGATGATGTAGTGCTGAAATGATAGTCTTTTAAAGAAATGGTGTATAAATAAGAAAAACACTTTAATCCATACCTCATTCCATATTTTAAAAAATGAATTCAAAAGGGAACTTAGGCTTAAATGCAATACTGAAAGTATAAAACTTTCAGAGAAAAACAGGAAAAGAAAACCTTGTGTTCTTGGCTTTGTTAAAGATTTCTTAGATAAAACAATAAAAATCAAGATCCACAAATTCATAAATCAGAGTCCATAAAGAGACAAAACTTCTGCTCTTTAAAAACAACCTACAAAAAATAAAATGAAAACCACCTACAAAGAATTAAAAGACAAGGCAGAGAAGGAGAAAATCCTGCCAAACATTTATCTGATAAGTAAATGGTATATCCAAACTCATAAAACCCAACAGTAAGAGGAAAAAGCAATTAAAACCTTGGAAAAAGATTTGAACAGTTCACCACAGAAGATAAATGGATGGCAAAAAGCAGATAAAAAAAGTGCTCAACAACATTAGCTATTAGGAAAATGCAAATTAAAACTAAATGAGATAGCATCATATACTTACAAGAATGGCTAAAATTTAAACGATTGACCTTACCAAGTGTTGCTAAGATGTGGAAGAACTGGAATACTTCGAGAGTGCCACTGTGATTGTAAAATGGAATAACCCCTCTGGAAAACAGTTTGGCAGTTCCTTAAAAAGTAAAACATGTACTATTTAGGTGATCTACCCGTTCTACTTTTAGGTACTCATCCAGGAGAAAAGGAAATTTATGTTCATGTGAAGATTTATAATATTTATACATGAGTATTCATAGAAGCTTAATTTGTCATAGTAAAAAAACTAGAAATAACGTAAAAGTCAATCAGTAGATGAATGAATCAACAGACTGGTCTATCTGTACAGTGGACTACTACTCAGTGAAAAGGAATGAACTCGATACATGCAACAACACAAATGAATCTCAAAATAATTGAGCTAGGTAAAAGAAAGTAGACAAAAAAAGTATATACTGTATGATCCCATTTATATGAAATTCTAAAATATGAACTCTGTAGTGATAGTAGGCAGTGGGTGAAATGAAGACGAAGGGATTATCCAGGTGCACAAGGAGTCTTTTGGGAAATGCTCATTATTTTGTTGAAGTAGATTTGTGGGTATATACATATGTCAGACCTTATCAGAATGTTTATTTAAAATAGTTGCTGTTTATTGTATATTAATTATAACTGATTGAAACTAATAATTTTAAAGAAAACAGGGTTTTTTTTTTCCATGATGTTTGTGATACAGTTGAAAATTGAAAGGACAGAAAATGAGGATGCACTTCCCATGTCCTTGAGTATTGGAAGAAGGGTTCACATAGATAATTATGATAGCCTTAAGGGGTTGCCAGTGGTATTTTTAAAAATATTTTTATTAATGTTTATATATCTTTCTTCATGTGAATATAAAAGTACTAAGAAGAATGACATTTTCCTTTTCTTTCTCTTCCCCCCACTTTTTTTTTTCTTTCAAAGGAGTGACAGTTCATTCAGATTCTTTGTATTCTTCTTCGTCTATATTTGTCAGTTTGCTGTTCATGTACTCCAAGCTGCAGGATTTCATAATTGGGGTAACTGGTAAGTCATTTACTTTAATAACTCTAGTTTTAATCTGTTTAAGTAACCTTTACATAATTGGTGGTTTCCTAAAAATAGTTAACACAGAAAAGCCAGGTTGTCAAAAGTAAAAAATAGTAAAACAATGCAATTTAAAAAATGTCTAAGGCATAACCTTTGGACAGACCATTCTATTTGAAAATTAGGTTGCCATCTTTTTTTTCCTCCCAAGAAATAGACTTTTTTTAAAAAAAGTTTATTTATTTGGAGACTGAGCAGGGGAAGGGCAGTGAGAGAAGGAGGGAGAACTCCAAGTAGGCTCCACACTGTTAGTGCCGAGTCTGATGTGGGGCTCAAACCCGCAGACTGTTAGATCATGACCTGAGCTAAAACCAAGAGCTTGATGCTTAAGCTTATGAGCCACTCAGACACCCATACGTTGCCATTTTTAAAAACATATTGTATGTAGTTTAAAGGAAATGTTATATAACAGGCATTAAAAGGAAGAGTCAAAAAACTGAGGAGTGGTTAGAGCTGGGCCAAGGATTGTGGAAGGGAGAGGAAAGAACTTATAGGATTTAAAGGAAAAGATTAGCTATTATGTGTAAAGCACTATTTTAGGTATGCAAACACATGTTATCATACAAACACATGCCTGTGAACACTTGTCTTTGAAAAATGGTTTCACTGCAATGCTCACTCTGGGAGACCCTCAGAAACTAAAACTATTTGGACTCAAGCTAGGAGATAACATCAGATTTGTATCTCTGTTCATACACTTTGGAACAAATATTCCTTGAATGAAAAAGTGGGTGGAAGAGTACACATCTCTAAAATCATCCCTCCCTCTCTTCTATTATAATTGAGTTGCATACAGTTGAATTCTTATAAAGAACAGCATATACAAGGCAACTTTGCTGCACTGTACACATAACCTAACATCACCATGTAGCTAGAGTGTATTGAGGACTTAAATTCAGTGCGCTACTACTGAATTAGAATAGAGACTGACAATCAGACAAATAGCAGTAGCTTTGTGGGTCTTCTAATGGGCATGTATGCATGCAGAGAATTTATATAGATACCTTAAATCAGTTCTTAAAAAACATAGCATTCATTATCATTTCTAATAGTGTGTTTAGTCTTTGGCATATGAGGGAAAGAAAATGCTCTTAAATGTTTAAGAAATAAACTGTTTATGTTAACAGCACAAGTTTTTTTTATTATGAAATTGAAATAATTTCTTTTTTTCAGCACAAATTTAGAAGAAAGTGTTAAAATTGAGCATAACAGAATGTGTAGTGGCTAACTAGCACAGGAGACTGGTAGCAAGGGGACATACAGAGTGACCTGTTTTAAGATCAACCTCATGTGATTCAGCAGTTTTTTAAAAATTTTAACTGTTTATTTTGAGATAATTGCAGATTCACACAGGTATAGAAATAAAACTCTATACCCAGTTTTCCCCAAGGATAACATCTTGCAAAGCCATGGTATAATTTCAAAACCAGGATCTTGACAGTGATAAGTAGAGATAACATTTCCATCACCAGAGTATCCCTCATGTTACCCTTTTATACCACATTGATTTCCCTCTTGCCCTCATCCCCTTAGTAACCCTAGCAATCACGAATCTGTTGTTCATTTCTGTTATTTTTTCATTTTAGGAATGTTACATAAATGGGAGCACTTAGGTGGCTCAGTTAGTTTAGGTGCCTGACTCTTGATATCAGCTTACGTCTCGATCTCGAGTTTGTGAGTTCAAGCCCTGCATTGGGTTTCATGCTAGGCATGAAGCCTACTTAAACAAACAGACAAGCAAGCAAACAAACGTTATATAAATGCAATCATAGGATATGTAACTTCTGTCTTTTTGTACTCATCATTGTTCTCTGGAGATTCATCTTGGTCATTGTGTGTATCAATAGCAGTAGTTCATTCTTTTTCATTCCTCAGTAAAATGGTGGTTGTACCAGTTTGTTTATCCATTCACCAGTTGAAGGACTCAACTTTTCTCATTTAAGGCTATTATAAATAAAACCTCTATAAACATTTGTGAACAGGTTTTATGTGAACATGTTTTCATTTCTCTGGTAAATATCCAACAATATAATTGTTGGTTCATATGGAATTTCCATGTTTAGTGATTTTTTAAGAAAGTAACAAACTGTTTTTCAGGATGACTGTACCATTTTACATTGCCCCCAACAGTGTATGAGTTACTCACCTTCCATATTCTAGCCAGCATTTGGTGTTGTCATTTTTAAAAATTTTAGCTGTTAGGATAGATGGATAATGATATCTCACTGAGGTTTTAAGTTGTATTTCTCCAGTGACTTGGAGGTGTTGAACATCTTTTCCTGTGATTTTTTGCCTCTTTATATCCTCTTGGTGAAACATCTTTTCATGTCTTTTGCCCATTTTCTAACTGAATTTTTTTTTCTGTTGAGCTCTGAAAGTTCTTCATATATTCTGCATGCTAATCATTGGTTGGATATATGGTTTGCAAATATTTTCTTCCATAACAAAGGGGAACTTAAAATGACCTTCAAGTAACAATGAATGCCTGTACTTAAAAAGTCAAATCTGGTGGTACACACTGTGCTCTGGTGTTGCTATTAGATTTGAATTCATACTATGGTCTACAGCCATACCATCCTGAACGTGTCCGATCTCGTCTGAATTCATACATGCCATATATTAGCTATATGACTGAGAAATTTACTGAATATCTCTGACTCAGTTGTTTATGTGTATAATAGGGATTTAAAACAGAATCAGTCTTTGGGGTGCCTGGGTGGCTCAGTCAGTTAAGTATCTGACTTTAACTTAGGTCATGATATTATATTTCGTGAGTTCAAGCCCTGAGTTGGGCTCTGTTCTGACAGCTCAGAGCCTGGAGCCTGCTTTGGATTCTGTGTCTCCCTCTCTCTCTGCTTCTCCCACACTCATGCTCTGTCTCTCAAAAATAAATAAACGTTAAAAAAAATTTAATGCTTTTTTAATAAATAGCATCTAAGGGATTGTTGTGAGAATTAAATGAGTTAACATGAAGAATTTGAGTATTGTGTGGCTAATAAGTGCTGGATATGTGTTGGTCCTTATTTTTTAAAAAGCATGCATTATTTGTCTAATTACACTTTTTTTTTTTTTTAAATTACTTCTTAGTGGTTGGATTTCATCCCTTACTGGTCTCAACCAAAGTATTCCTGTTGGAATTATGATGATCATCATAGCAGCACTTTTCACAGCATCAGCGGTCATCTCGCTAGTTATGTTTAAAAAGGTAAGTGACATTTTACATCTGTAAATTTTTGTAGTTACTCTTGTGTGCCAGTTCTCATTTTACTATTTTGCTTTTTGTTTTTAATGTTTATTTGATTTTGAGAGAGAGAGAGAGAAAGAGAGAAAGACAGTGAGTAAGTGAACTGGGGAGGGGCAGAGAGGGAGACACGATCCGAAGCAGTGTCTCAGCTCTAGCTGTCAGCACAGAGCTCCACGCAGGACTTGAGTGCACAAACCGTGAGATCATGACCTAAGCTGAAGTTGGATGCTTAACGACTGAGCCACCAGGCACCTCTCCCATTTTGTTCTTATTAATTCAGTATAATGTCAAGCCATTTTATTGTTCTTCTTGTTACAAGTGTGCTCTCTGAGAACTACTTTTTACAATTAGAAATTATGCATAGTTAAATTTCCTCATAATTTTAACTTCCTGTAAAAAGGGGATAATATTTTAAAATCCTGTTAACTCAAGGCTTCTTTCATGAAAAGTCAGCCTCATTTAAAAAATTTGGAATTGGGGTACCTGGATGACTCAGTTGGTTACACATCTGACTTCAGTTCAGGTCATGATCTTGTGGGTTCAAATGTTGTGTCAGGCTCTATGCTGACAGCTAATTCAGAGCCTGGAGTCTGGTTGGGATTCTTTGTCTCCCTCTCTCTCTCACACCTGCTTGTGCTCTCTCTTCGTCTCTCAAAATTGAATAAACAGCAAAAAATCCTTTTTTAAAAAATTTTTTAATGTTTTATTTATTTCTGAGAGAGAGAGAGACAGACAGACAGACAGTGTGAGTAGGGGAGGGTCAGAGAGAGAGGAAGACACAGAATCTGAAACAGGCTCCAGGCTCTGAGCTAGCTGTCAGCACAGAGTCCGATGTGGGGCTCGAACCCACGAACCATGAGATCATGACCTGCCGAAGTCGGATGCTTAACCGACTGAGCCACCCAGGCGCCCCCAAAAAAAATCTTTTTAAATTTGAAATTAAATACATATTCTAATTCTGAAAAAAAAAATTATGTTTTATATATGTTTGAGAGAGAGACACAGAGTGTGAGTGCAGGAGAGACAGAGAGAGAGGGAGACACAGAATCCCAAGCAGGTTATAGGCTCTGAGATGTTAGCACAGAGCTGGAGGCAGGGCTCAAACTCAGGAACCATGAGATCGTGACCTGAGCCGAAGTCGGATGCATAACCGACTGAGCCACCCAATTGCCCCTCTAATTTCTTTTTTTGAATATAAAACATACTTGCCTAATTGATAAATAGAAATAAAAAGTGTGGAATGTGCATTTTGTTTGTATTTGAAATTCAAAGACATGAAATTAGGAATATAAAGTAAGCTGATGATGGGTTTGGGCTGGGTTATAGCATGAATTTTATTTTTAGTGACTGCCCAATTATCTGAGTTACACTTCTTTCTATAAAATTCCCATGACTGTTTTCATGGCCTTAAAAAAAATCATTACATAAAGAAATCAAAGTTTTTATATGCGTATATAAGGTTTTATTGTCTTATATATTTTTGATATTCTATGTGTGTCCAAACATGTAGATTGTACATGATATAGAGACCCTGGGAATAATACCTATGTTTTAATATGATAAAGAACTTTTTTTTGGGGGGGTCTCACTTTAAGATTATTCCTCAGAACAGATTTTTCCTAATTTTTTACTGTCTGGTATCTTGAGAATATGTACAAGGAAGACAGAAATAACTGTAACTTATATTTAAGAACACTTCACGCTCTCAGGGCACAATCTTGCATTCACGGTTTGGAGCCCTACGTTGGGCTCTGTGCTGACAGCTCAGAGCCAGGAGCCTGCTTTGGATTCTGTGTCTCCCTCTGTCCCTGCCTCTCCCCTACTCGTGCTCTGTCTCTCTCTGTTTCTCAAAAATAATAATAATAATAAGATAAAAAATGTTAAAAGAAACACTTTGCACTTTGTAAATTTGCCTTTTATCCTCCTCAAAACTCTGAAGACTAGGCTGTGTTCTTTCTGTCCATATTTGCTACTCATTTTCTCTATTAAAAGCTTTTACTTCTTTTCGGAATTATACATACATACTATCGAAACTCAGCTTTCCAAAGTTACTAAATTGTGTATCCTTTTGGCAGTTATCTTTTTCCTTGAACTCTGCAGCTCTCTATATTACAGGTGGCCCTTCTTCCTCAGCCTGTGTTTGTGTTCTGATTCTCCTGTCTTTGAGCTATTCTTTCTCCTTCATTCCTTTGTCCAGCTCCTAAGTACATGTCTTCTTAAATGCAATCAGCTCTCTGCTCTTTGTGCTATATAATCATTGTCCTTGTAAATTTCAGTCTCTCCCATTTTAGGGGTCCTTTCTCTTGTCTATTCTGGGTGACATAGAATCTTGGATTTAGAAGACACAATACTGTGCATAAAAATTTAGTTTCTTCCTCAGGTGACTCTTTAGATCTCCTATTGATTGGTATCATCATGTCATAGTCAATGCATTATAAACTCATCGGTTTCTTCTCAGAACTAGCTCTTCTTCCAGAAGCTCTGATTCATATTCAAGAAAAATTTAAGACCACATATTATATGATTTCATTTACATGAAGTGTCCAAAATAGACAAATCTATAATTTGGCAAATCTATAGAGATGGAAAGTAGGTTTGTGGTTGCCTGTGGCTAGGGGTAGGGTGGAGAAGGATTGCTGATAGTTATGAAAGTTCTTGTTAGCTTGATGAAAATTTCTAAAATTAGATTTATAGATGATTTATTCACAACACTATAAGTACTAAAAACCATTACTTTCTACCCTTTAAAAGGGTGAATTGTGTATTCAAATTTTATCTCAGTAAAGCTGTTTTTTAAAAAAGAACATTTATTAAGTACCTACTATAAATTGGGTGATGCTAAGTATTTTCTCCTATGATTCCATTTAAATTTATGTCAACACTTTGAGTGCTTTTGTCAATGCTTTCATTACTTTTATAGTCACAATCCTAGATACTTTCTTAGTATCTCTTTTATCTTTTTCTTCCTTTTCATTCTAAGCTTCAGCTAGCCCAGAAATGTTTTGCAGGTCGCCACACCCTCACTTCCCCCAACTTCCTTCAGTCCATTTTGTGTGTAGTTACTATGTTAATCTAAAAAACAAACAAACAAACAAACCCAGCACTCTGAAGAATTTTGAAGTGGACTTGGATTGGGGAATGGGATTTTGGTGGTTGTGGGAAGTACGGCTAGTAGTGACCTTTTACCACTCCTGGATCCACACTTTCTTCTCTAGTCGAGCTGTATTTCTGAGTTTCTTTATATATATGACATACGTTCCTTTGTCACCGTTTTTGTTCATTCTATGCTATTTAACCTCCTGGGTTTCTTACTCTTCTCTGCCAGTTGAAGACCTACTACTTTCCTTCAAGATCTAGCTCAAATATTCATGCCTTTTTCACAGAATCTTTCTCATTACTCATATTTTAAGGATTGTGTTGTTCTTAAGTTTCTTGGGAACTTACTGTAGGTGTTACTCACTATGGCATCTGGGTACAAGCCACTTTACATACCTTATAATGCTCATATTCTGGTACCCAGCTTTTTAAAATTCCCCCAGGGTGAATATGGCTTCTAGCCTTGGAATTAAATGAGAGGAGGAAGAGCTTTGGAACCATACAACTCGGTGAAATTCTGGTGCCTTGACTTAAAGCTATGTGAGCTGAGGCAGGCTTCTCTAACTGTTCCATTTCCGTGTCATCACCTGTACTCTAAGCTCCTCAGGAGCAGAGCCCTAGTCTCTGTGCTTTCAGGTTTTATTGATCACATCTGAAACAGTGACTGTCAGTGATTGATATGTGGTAGGCACTCAGAGTATTTGTTGAATGAAGGAAGGAATGGGAATAATAACTACTTCCATAAGGTTGGGGTGAGGATTAAGTGAAACAGTGAACATAAGCTGCCCAGCACAGGGATTCCTCAACTAAAATAACAACTTTTTCTGGTCTTCTTGACTCCTTTATCAGTTTATATGCAGGGTGGTGTGGTTTAGCGTCTACTTTTGTTTAGTAGGTGCCTGTATCAATCAGTGTTCTGTCAGAGAAGCAGAAAAGAATGAAGAGATTGATTGAAAGGAATTTGCTTATGTGGTTGTGGAAGCTGGCTGTGTTAGTCTGAAATCCATAGGGCAGGCAGACTGGAAGGGTTGGAAAGTCTCAAGCAGAACCTGAAGCTCCAGTCCCAGGTGGGATTTCTTCTTTCTCCGAGAAACCTCAGTTCTTTTCTTAAGGCCTTTCAACTGATTAGATCAGTCCTACCAGATAACTCAGAACATTCTCCTTCTGTTAAAGACCTCTGATTAATAATCACATGCCCAAAATGCCTTCACAGCAACATCTAGATGAGGGTTTTATTAATAACTGAAGACTAGCCTAGCCGGAAAACCTGACCGTCACAACAGGCCTTTGGACATTTCCTTGATTATTCCATATGTATCATTGCAGGTGCTTTATAAAACTAGAAATGTAGTAAGTTTAAAACACAGGAAATACTATAAAGGGCTTTGGGGTATGTTGCAGGTTCATTTCATTGATTAAACAACCATTCTTTGATCATGTGTTATGTGCCAAGTGCTGTACTTTGTATGAGCTCAAGGAGCTCACGTTTTGGTGTGGAGGATAAGCAAGTGAGTGGGTATCACAATCCAGTGATTTAGTGGCTATTTTGGGGGCAAGTCCAGGGATCACAGAGGAGAGATATCTAAGTTTTGGAGATCTTTTGAAGTAGTGGGGTCTTTTAAAGTATTTCCTTGGCTGAAATATGATGAGCAAGAGTTATCTAAGTAAAAGATTAGGGAGAAGGGAGAGCCTAAGTAGGTAGCAGGGATACCATTTTCATATATAGTTGCAAGAAATAGCATGGCATAGTCAGGGGACTAAAAGTAGCTCAGAATGGATGGGATATTAACTTGGTACATGAATTGGGCAGGAAGAAATGTGGGGTGTTGTTGTTGGAGGACAGGAAAAGATGAGACTACACACAT